GTAGCATACATAGCAGGAACGGATACGAGGTAGGGAAAAAACCGTATGAATGTAGACGCAATTTCAGACGTAGCAAACTGTTTCGGACTGGAACTAAAGCCGGGTGCACATCTGAGTAGGAACGGGTACTAGGCAATATGAACGTAGAAAAGTAGACACTACTCGAAGTACGGCAAACTTTCTCGGCCCCGAGGCCAAGGACATTGGACTGCTATATTACTGGCTTTAAAATGTTAGAGTATAAGCCCCAATTAATTATGATGAGAAAATAAAATCTCTAGACATACATTCTTGTGAAATTTTTGACATTGCCGCTTTCTTCTCCATTCAACTTTAAAATATATTATCTCAAAAACTACTTTCGTAGCTTCTGGTCTTCAACCTACGTCTGTCTTTTTTTAGAAAATTAGAAATAACCACAAATTTACTATTATTGTTTATGTTTTTTCCTAATAGATAAAAAAATTTGATTTATGAACTGATGATTGGAATGCCATCTCGTTTGGTTCTTCAGGTCAAATGGATTTGAGAAGAAAAAATCAAATTAAACGAGGCTAGCGTTTATATTTGCATGCTCATATTTAGCTGAGACTTGCCTTGTGCTCTTTTGGACTTAAAATGTACCTGCCTCTCTACTTATGTGTACCCAGCTTTATGAATACGCGGTGAGGTAAAATCGAAATAAAGTCCATCCCATGTGAACTATATTCCTCTAAAGAGAATCAAGTAGAAGGCATTTCAACGGCCTCGGATTCGCACCGAGTCATTTTATACCGCGCCATGAGCTGCGTCTACATTTATAGATTCGTGCACTTAGGCCTTGCACTATATCCATTCTTGTTCAAATGTGTACGTGTTTTAAATAAAAAAATTACAACTGACGCTTTCGTTCTGTCTCTCCCTGCCTCTTCACTTATACGAGGCCTGTTCATAAAATAACCGAACTTTTTAAAAAATGTTTTATTAATTTTGTCCATGTCTCATTTAAAGTACTCCCCTCCCCTATTCCACACTTTTCCCAGCGTTGTTTCCATTTCTTGAAGCAGTCCTGGATAGCTTCATTTGAAACAGCCTTTAAAGTCTGTGACGAATTGGCTTTGATGTAATCAATAGTCGGACAACGGCGTTCTTTTAGCATTGATTTTAATTCCGGAAATAAAAAATATCACGGGAAGGCAGGTCTGGCGAGTCAGGAAGGTGAGGGAGAACAGTAATCTGATTTTTGACACAAAACTGACTAATTGACAAAGCTGAATGTGTGGTGTAAGAGCCATGAGTTGTCTCACTACAACTCTGATCTCTTTTGCGGATTTCTTCACGTAATCGTTATAAAACCCCTTAATTCAACACACGGTTCACTGTTTCACCTTGAAGCAAGAATTCAAAATTCACAGTTCCATTAAAGTCGAAAAAAACAGTAAACAACGCTTTGACATTGGATCGAGACTGATGTGCTTCCTTGGCGTGGAGATCATTTGCAAATCCATTGTGACGATTGAACTTTTGTCTCAATGTCGTAGCAATAAACCCGGATTTCGTCTCCCGTCATGATCCTTTGAATGAATGTTGCCCACAAACGTTCACACGGTTTTCCTTCTTACTTCGGTTAGTAAACGACAAACAAATTTTGCTGGAACTCGATGAATGTTCAATTTTTCAGTCAAAATTTCATGGCATGACCCAATAGAGATCCTAACATCTACAATTTCTCTGATAAGTTAATCGACAATTTGTATGCAACAGATCTTTGACTTTCTGAATGTGGGAGTCATCAGTTGAAGTCGAACGCCTTCTTGGTCGAGGATCATCTTCACTTGACTGACCACCACTTTTAAATCGTGAAAACCATTCGTAGCACTGCGTACCTACAACCCAGATTATCATCTCCGTAAGCTTGTTTCAATAGTTGAAATGTTTCCGTGAAAGTTTTCCCCGGTTTTACCCAAAATTTTACGTTGCATCGTTGTTCCAGAAAATGACACATTGCAAAAATCGTTACTAACACGTTGCACTTAAATAACAATATCACAAAAACTAAATGAAATATCAACAATCCACGAACATGTGGTTACAGAGGAGGTTATGCGCAATACAATGCTGCCAATCGCAAATCACTAAATATATCAATTAGGGCGCAAAACAAAAAGTTTGATTATTTTCTGAACAAACCTCGTATGTGCCCGGCTTTACTTTTGAAAAGCGCCATCATTCAGAAATTAAATTATTTTCTATTTCGTATACTTTTCTTATGTTATATTTATTTTAAAGCAATAGACTACATATCTATCTAAAGTAGTTGTAAAATATCCGGAATATTTCAATAAATTATTGCTTTGCTTCAACAATCGGCGTGTATCCTTCATGTGAAATAACGGTCAAGAGTTCCTTATATATAAATCACGCCTTGCAGGCCATTACGTTATTTAAAAGGAATTCTGTGTTTGTCAAATTTTCATATCTTGTGTCGAGTTTGAAAGCTCTCATTATAAAAATTATTACCTGAAGCACACCGAGTCCTCGGAGAAAGCAACAAAAATTATAAAGAAAATAATTATATACATCAGTTTGAAGGGAGGTATAGTCGGCCTTGTGACGCCAATCAAACGGGGCTCTAGGCGGTCTTAGCCTGCATCTGAGATAATGAGTTTATAAATGATGTATAAATCATTTCCATCTTTCTGGACTTGACGCTTGCGAAATTTCAAAATACACTCCACGTAATAATTACAATTAGTTCTGCTATAATAAGATTCTTGTCAGGCATAAACATTTTTGAAATAAATTGTAAAATGCTGGAAACGGTGGATTAGGAATACATTCTACAAAATTAAATACATATAATTTTACACTACGTTGAGCATTAGTAAGTGAATTTATGTGTACAGTGTTATACAAACATAAAATACTTATAAAGTCAATAAATAGCATAATTACATTTTTTGTTTATCGTTCATAACGAATTAGGAACTTTCATTAAATAGATAGGCAGTTCTGCAGTGTTTTACTTTGCAGTTTAGATGGTAGTCACAATAAAGGCCAGTAATAGCGGGTAGTTGTTTAAATGTAAGTTTGCAATACACTAGATAGATTTAATCACAAGTATTTCATTCCATCGACGAATCCAAGCTGGAATTGTTAGCCACATTGTGAAATCTGTCGGTTTATAAAACGCCTAGATATTTATAAAAGATTAGTTTCACTAGACTGTAGAACTTGTTTAAACGATTTGTTTACCAAATTTGATTGATTAGATTAGTACAATTTTAAGAATGTTGTTTGTTTATTGTTTTCATTTAATTTTTCTCTGGAGCATAATATATTTACTAAAGCTCTCGACAAAACGTAGAAGCATATCTAAAAAAAAGTATTTTAGTTTTTTTTTTGGTATCTAAACTGTATCTATCTATTGTTTATTTAGAAATAAGTATGTACTTTATTAGTTTTATTCTGTATTTATGTACGTGATTAATAAAAAAATCTTTATTTTACAACTAGCAATTTAATCGTTTTATAAAAACGACTGATATGTTTCAATCAGGGTGTCAAACACGTGATGATTTTAAACATTTCACAATTTGGCAACCGGTTCATCATTTTGAAAAAGCTCATACATTTTACAAAATGACTAACTAGATGGTATAATAACGCGAAATCAATGGGTATTTAAAAACCTAGCCGAATTTTATAAAACGTTTATACGTTTTATAAAACGTCTATACATTTTATAAGTCTATAGATTTTACAGTTTGACTACAATAGGTGTACACCTATATATTATTTTTACTAATGGGTATAAAGTTAAATATAAAATATAAATTATTAAATATTTTAAACAAATCTGAATAAAATTATTAAAATTGGGAAACAACCTTGCTCTAAATATACAACGTATTCCAATTTAGGCGAATCGAATTTAAATCAAAGGTAGTAGTAATACTAATGAAATATTGAGATTTTTCTTAATAATTGCTTTCCTTGTACAGGGCCATAAGTGGTTCATTCTTGAAATTGTATTACTTCGAATATTATTTGATAATTAGTAATTTTTTATAATACAGGAACTAAATATGGAGTAGTAATCATGTTTGACGCCGTTGGCACAACTGTAGTTTTAGCCCTAATTGTGTTTTTTTTAACATTTTTACGTTTAAAAGCCATGAAAAGTGCATGAATTCTATACCTAGTGGATCAAAAAGTATAAATCATACGGGGAAATCATGCGCATATCGATGTTTATCAACAATAGTTATTTCCGAGGTTTTTTCCATATGATCCGTACTTTTTTGTGTAACTGTAAGACCTTCAAGCATGATTTTCTCCTAAGCGGTCAATTTCTCAGACATGTACCTAGTTTGTATATCTTTCTTAGGTAGGAATTTTCAGGGAAATTAAATTATAAATTAAATTACGTCAGTGGCGTAAAAGTTGTAGGTACTTTCTTTTCCACAGTATGTTTGTGTGGTACAATAAAATACTGTAATATAGAGATAAATATAGAGATAAATGTTTGCACGATTGATACTGGTAGCGAAAATTCCCTAAATCTTGACGTCACCAATATTAATAATTCGTTTATAAATAAACAATGATTAATCATTACGTCTATGCCCTAGATAATGCGATCGCTGATTGGTTGAAAAATTACACCAATCACAGCCGATGAAGCAGAATATTGTTTTTAATGTAATCTTGATCTTATCGTTTTAATTTTATCGAAATTTAATTATCAATTGCCAGTTGCTCATCATGTAATAACATTATATCATATTTGGTTTACATTAGTTTGTGTAAAACGGAGATATTAGACAAAATATAATCGTGAAAGCGAACCTGTCTAAGGGAAACAATACAAGACCACGGTTTATTAAGAAAAATTTCACTATATTTTAAGTATTACTTATGGTTAGAGATTGACTCATTCAAATTAGAATGCCTTATAATAGTTGTATGTAAAGTAGCATTTGTGTGATTCGATAGTAACCTTTTTTTGTATATTTCAGAAAGGAAGAGAGGTCGACAGACGTACACCCGATACCAAACGTTGGAGTTGGAGAAGGAGTTCCATTTCAATAGGTATTTGACGAGACGACGAAGAATCGAAATAGCGCACGCTCTTTGCCTGACAGAGAGACAGATCAAAATATGGTTCCAGAACAGGCGCATGAAGTGGAAGAAAGAGAACAAGACCAAAGGTGAAGGAGGTTCGGAAGGAGGTGGTGACGACATAAGCCCCCAAGGATCACCACAGTGAACCGCGTCACAATAAACCATGTACCTAAAAACACATTGTAGTCATTGCATTTTCTTTTTGCCAGTACAATCTGGCAAGAAGTTATGAAATTTTGGCAGGAACTCTTCCAAATTCCCCTACACAACCATATTGACCTCTTACAAGAAAGTCCTTTTTGTGTATAATTAAAGTCGATATATTAGTTCCGACAAACGCGATTTATAGATCGATTTTATAGTTTATTTATTTATATATTGTAGATAACATAGTCTTTATAATTTTGCGCGAATTTTAATTTTGGACTCTCGTAAAATAAACTTTAAATCATAGAGGCCAGTGCAACGTGCAATTCAGTGAAAGCAGATGGACTGCCAAATCTTAGTGAAAAACTGTACCGGTTTAATTTTTTGTATAAATATTTTATATATCTATTCCTACTAGCTAAACGAAAGTGGTTCAGAAACTTCAAGATCCACTTCTCTTTTTGGAAGATCATGAAGGTCAGTGACTGACATTTTATTTTAAAATGTGAATGTCGCCATAAAAGGCAGGCTAACAGGAATCAAATTTAAACTATTTAAAACTACTGGAAAAATTCTGGTTAGCTTGCCTAAAATTAGATTACTCTAAAAAATGTTACTTGTTTTACAGATTGAAAATAACAGCTCAAATCGTAGCATAGTCCAAACTTAGTCAATAGTACCTAAAAGAAAATAATTCCGAGTTACCGTACTCTCATCTAAATTGATGAATATTTAGTAGAATATCCATTCAGTCAATGTTCTCTTTGTAAAGCAAGTATATTTTGGAAGTGTTCGTTTTGAAAAGTAGAATTGTTTACTTAAATTGTAGATATTTCGATTATGTGTATATTTGGTTACAAACAGTTAAATATTGTACATAAATCCGGTAAAGCAAAAGGATATGAAATATACGATATTATTAAAATTACGCACTTTCATGCCAAAGTTAGAGTAAAGTTATCCATGTAGGATGATAATATTTATTACTCAAAATACGTAATATGTGAACTTACACTATCTCTTAAAGTAAGCAATGTGAAACATTCGAAAAGTTAAAACTAATTTTAATTTGTGGAAAGAAGATAAAAATATTTTATATACCCTTTAAATTGGATTTTGCAGTTCATGACTACTAAAAGGTCTATCAGAATTGCTAGTGATAATAGTAACGAAAATACGTAAACACTGCTACAAAAGAAGTATACGTAATTAATTATTTTATTATAAAGAGGAAGTTGTAAAAAGGGTTAGGCAAATTAAATAGGTTCACAATTAATTATTAATTTTAAGTACTAAATTGATACTCATTAGTATTTACATTACCTAATATATAATTACTAAAGAAACATCCTATTTAAATTGGTTAACCGTTTATATACCCAAATATTTATACTCTAAATTTTAGGGATTCTGCAGTGGCATGCTGTATATTTGTACCTATATGGATAAAACTAGAGATATAGTTCTTTGTGCTGTGGTGTAATATTTTAGATTTAGAAGTACTAAGTTGACAGACTACTTTAATTTTGAAAATTGTTTTTATTATTATTTTGTAAATGAAAATTATTGTAATATAAATTATTATTATTTTTAACATTCATATATAAATTATATTTTGCGTCTTAATACTTTAATACTTGGATTTCTGTCTTGTGGATTTCAACTTATATATATATATCGTACATATAAAATATATATGTATAAATAAATATTATTGTAAATTTAGTCAATGACTTTTTAAATTAAACACCCTTTCCTTATAATTAATATTGACAGAAATGAAAACGTACCGAATTGCAAGAAACTCAATGCGTACACAAATCCAAAATTTAGGCATTCTTAAAAGAGTAAATATAAAATTATTTATTAATGTTTATTCATAGTTTTTAGTATAATTTCTTAAATTATTCAAATTTCCAAAACACGCCAAGATGGCCTCTTTTAGAAGGGATTATTATTGGTTAGCATAGTGTGAAAGACCCCGCCTCAGTTCTACATTTGACGGGATGATGAATAACTTTTGCTGGCCACGAAGGGTCCCTAACTTATCAGAACTCCATATTCGTTTGTTATGGAATTATTGGAAACTCTGCGAATGTCCCGCATTTGTAAAAAAATGTTTTTTTCTGTATTATTAACTCTAATAGGTGTTAATTAATAGAACAAGTTTTCTTTATTGAAAGAGATTAATAAAAATATTTTACTTACAAATACGTTTCCTTGCTAATTTAATATAAATTAATGCAGTACATCCAGTGGATAGCTTTAACTTGATTAAAAACAAAATACTTTTCAAGGTTTATGTAGATTTGTGTGTTCCGTTAAAACACTATTAAGGATATTAATTATTTGCATGTGTTTGTTCTGCATGAAGTAATACTTTATTATTTGTTTAATTAAACTATTTTGGTAGTTCTTTGTTATACTCATTTATGAAAAGTATTCCAACAGTACGAAGATATACGATAAGTTAAGAATTGGTTAAATATTTTGTACTATAAACTCGACCTTGTTAGGATCGTTATTCATGAAATTGAGCACATCCTGTTTTTAGGTATTGAAATGCATGTCAAAGAAACCGAGAGAACAATATAAATAAAACAGGAGTCTCCTAGACACCTTCAATCTGACTCGCCACTTACGAATTCATAATGAGCAGTTATGGGAAAAAAATCACTTGCAGTGGTTATTTGGCATCTGACTCGTTATTTATTAGTGAAAATATTTACTATTTCAGATATTCGTGTTAATTACTTTCTGTCTTCCAATTAAATGGATCATCCAGAATCTAGTATCGTTTTGATTTTAAATAAAATCTGCTGACGTCGCACGAGCTTTCCTGTTCCGTATTCATAGAACTCTTTCACTGATTCCTTGTTTACAATCAATTATCATTGGCTAGTGGTTCCAAACCGCTCTCTATTCACCCCAAGAAAGCATTAAGTGAAAATTACAAATCAAAACTATCTGCAGGATGAATTCTTGAATGTGCGAAATGTGGGTAGTGTCGTACAAGTGTTCAATCTTCTTGGTCACCACTCTTCAACACATTTCAATAGTCAAAGGGTCTGATAATAATCACCTGCATTTATTATATCAACTGGGGTCTTTAAAATCAACAAAAAAATACTCTTTTTACCGTAGACACAAGTCAGAAGGTTTCGAGTGGCAGTATCTGCCTTAATTTAATGTTCGTTTTGACGGCAAAAGGTAATCATTTCATTGGATGTTGTTTATGAAATATGAGACTATATCATTCCCTACGACGATTCGATCAAAAAATTATTTCTTTCATTTTTATAGTGATCCAAAACTAGTCTTACAATAGTCATATAGGTAGTCGTTGAACATTCACGGAACTCAACTGACACATTTTATGGTAAGTAACCTATGATCTATAACGATCTGCATGCATCTGATCAGAAGAAAACTAGTTGGAAATGCATCAGAGTAAAACGGTGATCTGGAACACTTGATCTCAAGAAGTACGCGTCAATTACGATAGCGATTTGTTCATATTGAATATTGTATTTAAATAAATTAAAACTTAACTTGATATAAATGTTAATGCAAAATGTGTAACTTGATCAAACTCATCTTATCCACGATATGCGCCAATCAAGAAGAGAATCCTCAGTTTGAGTGACAAAGGCAGGAGACCATAATAGTAGGGCAAGTAACTTCTGTACTAAAATTTTACTTAGGTTTGGTAAATATAGTTCCCTATTTACTGAAGGTTCTGTATTATACATTTAAAGATATGAGCAATTGATATTGCGTATCTAAAACTGGCAAACAAGATGAATTTGGTTAAACTTTGTGTGTACTTCATGCGTAATGGGATTTTAGAAAACCTATATTAATTCAATTAAAAAATTGATAATTTCCAAGAAAATTACAAACTACAAATAAAAAGTTGCATCCATATTTCCGTCTCTAACCGATTAGTATAAGTATATTCTTGCAAATATGTTGTTACTTGATAATACTGCGACTAGAGTTCACTTAGATATACCTTCAGAGCCTTCATAAATGCTTACAAACCACGTGACCACCAAGCTCAGACAACTCAACATTGCACACACATTGGTACTGGTAACGAAAAATCCCTAAGTCTTGGCGTTACCAATTTTTACGATTCGTTAACAATGAACAGTAACAAACCATTACGCCTACATTCGAGATAATGCGATAGCTGATTGGTTCAATATAATCTCGTGGAAAATTACACCAATAACAGCCGGTAAAAAAGAATGTTGTGTTTTAATGTAATCTTGAGCTTATTGTCTTAATTTTACCGAGATTTAATGGTCAACGTGAGGGAAATAAAATTACTGCCAAACAAAATTACTGGTCACGTGGCTTGTAATTATTTGTGAAGGCTCTGTGATTTGAATACTGTATGTACGAACTCAATTCAATACTTTTTCACAATATAGGTTGAACTATGTTGAACGATATGTTAAAGTAGAACTTATTGTATGGGTGGTAGTATATTTTAAAATTTTATTCTATTAATTTTTTTTTAAGATAATTTCCCTAAAACAAGACCATAAATTATTTAGCTCTAGATCCGAACGAACCCAACTGGATCGAGGCAGATGAAAATGAATTTGAATACTATCTGCTTATTAATAGAATAGAACGTCAATCATTTTGTTTCTACGATTTAGCTATAGAATCGCCTTACTATATGAATAATTTCAATATATGTTATTACTTTAACACTGTTATCACGGCTTATATTCTTTAAAATGGAAGTTTTGATTCTCTATACTTGATAACTTATGAAAAAAGTGGTTGTGAGGTCTTAAGGTTTGGTTAGAACTTCTTATACTGTGTAATTAATAACTCAATATACTCAGCGGTTATGTTGGTCGTCACACAGCATTGCTTAGTTAAAACTTTGTCGCATTCAGCACAAGCACTACGGGAAAATATCTTCTTTGTAAGTTGACATCTCAGGTCAAGTTATATAAGAAATTTTTATGTTTAGGCAACCAAAAAAAAAAAAAAAGAATCATGACAGTAACATTATACAGGGCGCACTTAACAACAGCAATAAGTGTTTTTTTTCTGAAAAGCTTCCTAAAATGCTCTGAATCCCAACTTGATACAGCGCGGTTTCGTTATAGCAGCTGTTCAGGTATATACATACATAGTTTAAAAGTTATTTGATGTCTCAGATAATCTTGTTTTAAAGATTTGGATAAACCATTCTAGACAAAACTTTTCGCGTCTTGAGGTTTTTTGGTTCAAAAACCTTGGCAATATTAAGAAAATTATTAGTACCGATTTTTTTTTACTATTTGGTATAAACGGTGCAGGCTATGAAAGAAACTCAAGAAGCATGAAAGCGTTTGTTGAAAATGATCTATCCAAATAGTTTAGATCATAAAATAACCTTTTTTGATAACTGACACCCCATGTACTTTTAACGCTACTACATAGTTAGTTTTTATCCAAATATGCACCAAGATTGAAATCTATAGATTTTCTGAATCACAAATGCAACAATTTTATCGAATCATGATAAAAATGCCTCATCACTGAAGATGATATTCGAAAAATCAGCATCAAGTGGATCCATAATCCATTCAACAAACTCTCTTCGCTCTGCGTGATCGGTAGGCTTCAGTTGTTGAATCAATTGAACTTTGTAAGCTTGAAATTGCACATCTTTCGTGAGAACTCTGTAGAAAGCTTCTCAAAATATCCAATTCTTTACCACGGTGCGAATTGATGTTCCTAGACCCTCAGCAACACTCACGAACTACTTCGACGTTTTGTGTCGAACGACTTGTTGAAGGACAGCCAGAGTATTTAAGATCACTAATTGATCCAATTCCCTGAATTTTTCAATCAATCTCTTCAGTTAGATGATGAAGTTAAATCACTATCCCGACCACATTTTCTGCGAAAATTGCAAACTGTAGCTACCAATTTTTCATTATTTTTGCTCAACAATGAAAACGCGTTGTTCTTTTATGTAGCGCACCATTTTTAATAACCCTGAACTGTAAGCTGTCACGCTGTCCCTTTTTTTCGTTGGCAACACTACCACAGAAATGATGCAAAATTCAAATTTTGGAATGGGACGTGATTTTTGGGACACCCAATATAATATTATCTTTTATCGTGTAGATAATTCTAAATGAAATAATGTGGATCATCTACTAAAACTAAACTAAATGTTATTCACAGTCCTGCAAATATACGTATGTTAATGTCTAAATGAGGAAATATTGACAATTGAATTGTAAAATATAACATTTCGTGATATACACTTAAATATACCAATTTCTTGAAATTTCTTCCTTTAAAGTAAATGAACAAAATAAATAATGAACAATTCAAACAATAATAAATTGGATTTTGAACCAATTTAATTAAAAAATATTAACAACTGTCTAACAAAGGTTATCTTGTTATTTTCAAATATTAGATATGCATCTACTGGAATAATATTTGTAGAATTATTTTGAATAACTTCTTAGTCGTTTATTAATCCATCACCAGCCATTAACTATCAGCAAACAAACTATAAAGATGTATGTTTTGACTAGCAAAGTCACGTGCGAACCACTAACATCGTTTTCAATATAGTTCAGGCTATGGTAATGATAAACAGAAATTAGTGTAGAATCGTAAC